AGGCAAGCGCTCCACTGAGCCACCTTCCTAGGCCCCTTCCAGACTTCCTTAACTGACTGACCCACCTGTGAGCAGGCGGTGGCGACACTGGTCCACCAGGCGCTGGCAGTACTGGATCTCGGCCCTGAGGTCTCGCAGTTCCTGGTACTCGCTGCGGTACTGCTTTTTCAGGTCTTTGAGCTTTACAATCAGCAGGAATTCCTCCTCGTCTATGATCATCAGCCCCTTGCTCTCGTACTCACCTGCAGGGTGATGGAGGGGGTCAGGGGATGAGGCCAGCCAGCCTGGGTTGGTGCAGGAAGACATTTGACCCATGAACGGGCACAGTGCTAGCCAAGTCATGAATGACAAGGAGGCTGGACGGCAGGACTGAGCGAGGCAAGGAAGTAAAGAAAGCACAAGGCTGCTACATCATATCTGTAGGAAGGGGCAATATTTTTTTTTTTTGGTCAATCCTGGGGCTTGAACTCTGGGCCTGGGCGCTGTCCCTCAGCTCTTCAGCTCAAGGCAAGCGCTCTACCACTTGAGCCACAGCGCCACTTCTGGTTTTCTACTGGTTAATTGGAGATAAGAGTCTCACAGACTTTCCTGCCCAGGTTGGCTTCAAACTGTGATCCTCAGATCTCAGCCTCTTGAGTAGATAGGACTACCACCAGCACCTGAGCTCTAGAATGGTCTGGATCAGAGTCTCCTCCTCCATCAGTCTCTCCTTCCTTTTCCCCCTTCCCAAACCGATCTCATGAAGTTTCATGGTTTTTCTTTTTTTCTTATGCTGTCCTGTGGCTTAAACTCAGGGCCGAAACTCAAGCCTCCTGCTTGGCTTTTTACTCAGGGCTAGCCCTTTACCCCTTGAGCCACAGTCCTACTTCTAGCTTGTTTTCATGGAGATAAGAGTCTCAGGGATTTGTCTGCCCAGTCTGGCTTCAAACCATGATCATCCGATCTCAGCTTCCCGAGCAGCTAAGATTACAGGCGAGTCATGGTGCTCGACCTGTGAGGGTACTTTTTTACAAATCCATTTACTGCCTAGTGTGGTCTCCTCATTTAGCCATGGATGGGGCCTGCCCCAAGGACCTTGTATAAGGGGCTCCCAGCTAACCATCTCCTGGGGCTATTTATTGCAAAACCACAGGCCAGTTTGTCCATGGACAGCATCATCAATGAGGTGGAAGGGCTGGAGCTTAGGTCTGAGATGAGGATGTAAGGAAAGACATGATACTTGTAGAAGCTGGACCGCACCCCTTCACCCCTGAGGGCTGACTAGCACTAAGCCCTACGCAGCAGGTTGAGAGGGCCCAGGCCCTCTCCTCTCCATGTTTACCTTCCGTTTCCCGTAGTGACTTCTGGCTTTGCAGCGCCTCTTTGGTGGAATCTATCTCCTTTTTGATGGCATTGATGCGCTGCGTGATCTCACTGGCCTTTTTCCTCCGTTCATTCAAGATGGACTTGTTTTCTTTGAAGATGCGGTTGATCTCACTACCTCGCTCGTTCTTAAAGTCCTCAAAAGCCATAGGTTTGGTGGGTGGAGTACTCGGCCTAGGGACAGAGGAGGAGGGGAGATAACAAGGAGACAGGAATGAGGAGCTACCCTTGGCAGCACCAGGCACTGGATGTTTCTTCACTAGAGCTCCGGTGGGCAGAAGGCATTCATGGGTGCCTAGAACTTTTATTTCTTGTGTGTATGCTCAGGCGTGCGCTAACTATGGCTTGAACTCAGGCCCTGGGCTCTGTCCCTAAGCTTTTTTTCCCCCCCTCAACGATAAAACTTTACTACTTAGTTGATCCACAGCTTTTGCGGTGGTTTTTTTTTTTGGGGGGGGGGTGTAATTTCTTGGAGTCTCACAGACTTTCCTGCCCAGGCTGGCTTCAAACTGCAATCCTCAGATCTAACCCTCTCTGAGTAGCTAGGATTTATAGTCATGAGCCAATAGCAACTGGCAAACATTTTTTCTTTATAGACATGAGCCATCAGAACCTTTTTATATAATCATCTTCTCTTTCATATTTCCTAAAAACTCATTTGATGACCCACCAGGGAAGTGACGAGAGGAAAAAGAAGGAATTTCACTGAGAGAATTTTGTGCCTTTTGAGTATTTGCAAAAGGTGCACATTTACCAGCACTGGTGGCTCATGCTTGTAATCCTAGCTACTCAAGAGGTTGAGATCTGAGGATCACAGTTCAGAGCCAGCCTGGACAGGAAAAGTCTGTGAGGCTTTTATATCCAGTTAACCACCAAAAAGCCAGAAATGGAGGTATAATCCAAGTAGTAGTATACTACTTGGTAGTATACCAACCTTGAATGAAAAAGCTAAGGGAGAGTGCAAGGCCCTGAAAAAAAAATCATTAAAAAAAAACAAACAAACAAATGCTAGCCGGGCACCGGTGGCTCACGCCTGTCATTCTAGCTACTCAGGAGGCTGAGATCTGAGGATCGAGGTTCCACGCCAGCCTGGGCAGAAAAGTCCATGAGATTCTTTATCTCCAATAAACCACTAGAAAACTGGAAGTGGCTCTGTGGCTCAAGTGGTAGCGCGCTCGCCTTGAGCTGAAGAGCTGAGGGACAGCGCCCAGGCCCACAACTCAAGACCCACGACCGGGGGGGAAAAAAAGTTACCTGGGTGGGCGCAATTCTTCCTTAGGCGAGTCCGAGGGTTCGATACTGGATGTCTCCCGGTCCCGAGAAAGCATGTCTTTGGCATCTCCATCTTTGGAAGACAGGATCAGCTGGGTCTTGGAGGTGGAACTCATGTCGAAGTCTTTCCCGCTCTGGGGGCTGCTGGCTCCTTCCTTCCTGGCTGAGGGGCTGGCAGGAGGCAGGAATGCCCTCAGGGCCCAGTCGATGAGAGCAGACAAAGAGCTAAAGATGTTGTTCAGCCCTCTCCATACCCAGAGACCCACACCATTTAGTTCCTATCTTTTCCTTCCCTTGGTTGGTTAGGTTCATTGGGGTCAAGGGTTGAACCCAGGCCTTTAATGCTTGGCTAATATTCTACCCAGTACCACCTCCTATCTCTCCCTCCTTAACTTCAGGACAAACTGAGGAAGAGAGGGAGAGCTTCCTTTTCTCTCCTTCTCTCCCAATGAACAAGGATCCCTCAACTATCTCAGGGGGACACACCAAGCAAAAGAGTAAACAATGGGACTTGAAGGTGTACGGACCTGGGGGGTGGGCTGCAGGCTCTCAGGAGCCAATGGGAGTGATGAAGTTATTAGTCACGAGGAGGGGTGGATCTGTCTGCAAGCCAATGGTAAACTAGGAGTCCAGGCTCCCTTGATCTGGACCTATCTGACCTGAGACACTTTGAGTCCAAACTCCCCTGATCTGCACCAGTACCCCTACCACCTCTCAGGAAAGTAGTCGACCATCTTCCCTTCAGCAGTGGCACGCCTAAACAGAACTAAACTGACGAGAGGATGCCCACGGTTATTGTTTCCACCATTTCCTCCTCTACTCTATCTTCCCCCTTCTTTTCTGAATTTTTTGTTTTTATTTTTTGTTGGTTGTGGGGCTTGAACTCTGGGCCTGGGCACCGTCCCTGAGCTCTTCAGCTCAAGGCGAGCGCTCTACCAGTTGAGCCACAGTGCCACTTCCGGTTTTCTGATGGTTCATTGGAGAGAAGAGTCTCACGGACTTTCCTGCCTGGGCTGGCTTTGAACCACGATCCTCAGATCTCAGCCTCCAGAGTAGGTAGGATGGTTAGGATGACAGGCGTGAGCCACGGGCACCCAGCTTTTCCCTCTGTACCTCTTCTTCCCTTTTCTGCCTTTCTTCCTTCCTCCCATTCCACTGTCGTCCTTCTCCCTCTTCCCCTTCCCCCTCTCTCATCTCAGACTGGCCTGCAATGTGGGCTTCCCCCACCCAGAGCTTGGATTATAGGCATGTGTGACCATTCCCAGCCTCTTCTTGCAGTAAGGGTGTCTCTGGGACCACGCTCCATCCACGGTATTGAATAGCAAGGGCTAGGGTGTGACTGTCCTCTTGAAAAAGCAGGAAGAGCAAGGTTTCCCTCCACTGTTTGACGCTCACCCCTAAACTATGGCCCACTGTGAGAGCTATATCCATCCGCTTAGGCTTACAATACCACAGTGACTTTGATGCTGTCGTTCTTCCCATTTTAGGGCTGTGGAAACAAGCGCACCGTCATTACCACCCTACACCCAAGATGATCTCATAGGTGTAGCAAGTAAACCTGAACATGAACTCTGAAACCTGTATGCTTGTCTACTGCTAGTCAGCCCTGGCTGGACGGCAGAGGGAGGGAGGGGGTGGACGCAGTTAACACCTTTGCACAAGGAGGACAGGGGTGAGCTAGCCAGAAGATCTCTCACCTGATCTGTTCTTTGAGTCCTCTCTTGGTCTTGGACTTCTTCCCGGGTTTGGAAGAGTAGGGGGCAACTCCGAGTCCAAAGCTTTGTCCATCAGGTTCACCTACTAAGTGGCCATCAGCATCCACGATCCCTGCCTAGATAGAGGCTGGTGTAAAGGTCATGGGGCAAGGTTAAAAGTTGGGGCTTCTAAGCTGGGCGCTGGTGGCTCACACCTGTCATCCTAGCTGCTCAGGAGGCTGAGATCTGAGGATCCTGGTTCACAGGTAGCCTGGGCAGGAAAGTCTTTGAGATACTTTGTGGGGTTTTTGTTTGTTTTGGGGGGGGTTTTTCTGTTTTTTTTTTGCCAGTCCTGGGGCATTGAACTCAGGGCCTGGGCACTAGCCCTGAGTTTTGTTTTTTGTTTTTTGGTTGTTGTTTGCCACTTCTGGCTTTTTCTGTATATGTGGTACTGAAGAATTGAACTCAGGGCTTCATGCATGCTAGGCAAGCACTCTACCAATGAGCCACCTTCCCAGCCCCTCCATGAAATTCTTATCTCCAATAAATGCCCAAAAAAGCCAAAAATGGAGTTGTTACTCAAGTGGTAGAGTGCTAGCCTTGAGCAAAAGAAGCTTAGAGACAGGGCCCAGGCCCTGAGTTCAAGCCCCAGAATCAGAGCAGGCACATACGCACACATCCCCTTCCCCCCCCCCCCCCCACGTTTGGGCTTCTCAGAGATGCAACTAGATATGACCTAAGGCTTGAGATGGGCCCGTTTGTCCTACATACTAAGATCTGGCAGTACCTGCTGATGCCAGTTTTTTGCTGTCCAAATACCCCTATCCTAACCCATTCCTGTGGCTCTGAAGAACATTTTCTAGTCTAGGTCCAATGTGTGGACATCATTGTTCAATTCAGAAGTGGCCGGCTCGTACAAAGGCACCCCGTGTTCCTCCTGGAGGTACCTTTTCCTGAGGCAATTCTAGGTCAATCAGCAGGTAATGTTAGCAGAAAGCAGGTGTGCTTACCTTCTGCACAGCAGAAATGGTTGCAAAGTCATTCTTATCTATGAGAGTGTACTTCCTGCGCAGGGCAGACTCTATCTCCTGTTCCTGTTGGCTTGAGAGAGAGAGAGACAGACAGAGAGTTTGATGGGGGGCCATACTGGGCCCACTTGGGCAAAACTAAGTTCTGGATTAGAAGGGGTTTTTGTTGTTTTGTTATGTTTTGTTGTTTTTTGTCAGTCGTGGGGCTTGAACTCTGGGACTGAGTGCTGTCCCTCAGCTCTTCAGCTCCAGGCTAGTGCTCTACCACTTGAGCCACAGCGCCACTTCCAGTTTTCCAGTGGTTCATTAGAGATAAGAGTCTCATGGACATTCCTGCCCCAGGCTGGCTTTGAACCCGCGATCCTCAGCTCTCAGCTTCCTGAGGAGCTAGGATGACAGGTGTGAGCCACTGTTTGAGCGATGAACATAGTGGCATAGACTGTTGACAGGAGGCAGAGGAAGGATCTCAGTTTTGAAGACCTACCTCAAAAACAAAAATATGAAAGGGCTAGAGGTGTGGCTCAAGGGGTAGAGCACCTACTTAAGAAGTACAAGCTCTGAGTTCAATCCCTAGTAATGAAAGAAAAAAAAGAAGTTGTTGTTGAGACACATCCTTATCTTGAGCCCGAAGACAAAGCACATAGAGTCACTGTCCGGTATCCAAACCTACACCCAAACCATCTGACATGCCAGGTGCATCTGTTCCAGAGGTGACACGTCAATATGGGCTGTAAGGCCTATGCTCCAGCCAAGGTTTGCTCTCTAATAGTTCCTCAGAGTCATGTGACCAGTCTTTGATATTACCCAGCCTGATTTGGCAGTAGGGAGATCTGCACTCAAACTATAAATGCCTGCCTTCTGCAGTAGGGGGCAGGGGAGTCTGGTGATGCCAAGCTCTGAGTAGGTTCACAGCTGTCACACTGTGGACTTCCTATCCTATTAATGAACTCAGTAAACATCCACACCCAATACTCTGATCTGGATCCTCACATGACAGAGAGAAAGGAGTGCTCTTGAAAGCATGTACCCAGCATCATGGAAAATGATAGGCAGGCACCGGTGGCTCACGCTTGTCATCCTTGCTACTCAGGAGACTGAGATCTGAGAATCATGGTTCAAAGCCAGCCCAGCAGGAAAGTCCATGAGACTTTTTTTTTTTTTTTTGGGTCCGGTCGTGGGGCCTGAACTCTGGGCCTGGGCGCTGTCCCTCAGCTCTTCAGCTCAAAGCTAGCGCTCTACCACTTGAGCCAGAGCGCCACTTCCGGCTTTTTTCTTTTTGCTTATGTGGTGCTGAGGAATTGAACCCAGGGCCTCGAGCATGCAAGGCAAGCGCTCTACCACTGAGCCACCTTCCCAGCCCCAAGTCCATGAGACTCTTATCTCTAATAAACCGCCAGAAAACTGGAAGTGGCGCTGTGGCTTAAGTGGTAGAGCGCTTGCCTTGAGCTGAAGAGCTCAGGGACAGCGCCCAGGCCCAGAGTTCAAGCCCCATGACGGTGGGGGTTGTTAAGGGAGGGAGGCTCTCACCTCAGAATCACTCGGAACTGGTTGAACACCTCCTGGATCTGCCTCAGATTGATTATCTGGAAGGAAGAGAACAGGGAAGTTACAAAGGGCCACCTGGGGACCAGACTGTATAGCTGACTCTGGACCATCTGACTTGAGAATGGGACTATCTGCAGCCTCTCAACAAAGCACCACCAAGCCTTTCTCAAAAAGTAAATGTGCACTGGGTACCGGTGGCTCACACCTGTCAGCCTCGCTACTCAGGAGACTGAGATCTGAGGATCGCAGTTCAAAGCCAGCCCGGGCAGGAAAGTCCATGAAACTCTTATCTCCAATAAACCACCAGAAAACCAGAAGTGGTGCAATGGCTCAGAGTGGTAGAGTGCTTGCCTTGAGCAAAAAGAGCTCAATGACAATAACCGGGCCCTGAGTTCAAGCCCCACGATGGACAAAATATAATTTAAAAAAAAATCCTATGTTGGGCTGGGAAGTTGGATCAGTGGTAGAGCGCTTGCCTTGCATGCTCGAGGCCCTGAGTTCGATTCCTCAGCACCACATAAGCAAAAAGAAAAAAGCCGGAAGTGGCGCTGTGGCTCAAGTGGTAGAGCGCTAGCCTTGAGCTGAAGAGCTGATGGACAGCGCCCAGGCCCAGAGTTCAGGCCCCACGACTGGACCAAAAAAAATAATCCTATGTTGATTTCCCTACCTGAAGGGTGAGACCAGGAGGCAATGGGACTCGTATCTGGGCAGCCAAGCTGTGCTTATACTCTTGGGACAGAGGTCATTGGCTTTGAACAACACCCCACCCCCACCCCGCAGGCCTTTCAACTTGGCAGGCAAGGCTATGGTGAACTGAATGTTCTTTTTTTTTTAAGTCAGTTGTGGGGCTTGAACTCTGGGCCTGGGCTGTCTCTCAGCTCTTCAGCTCAAAGTGAGCGCTGTACCACTTGAACCACAGAGCCACTTGGGGTTTTCTGGTGGCTTATCGGAGATAAGAGTCTCATGGACTTTCCTGCCAGGGCTGGCTTTGAACAGCAATCCTTGAATCTCAGCCTCCTGAGTAGTTAGGATGACAGGCATGAGCCACTGGCGCCTAGCTCTGAATGCTCTTTGTCACATACCCACCCAGCACCTGCTCTGTATGAGGTTCCACGGCCAAGTATAGCCCACACTGGGAGTGTCCAGGTCAGGGAGCCCCCAAACCAACTGAGTGAGCCTGCTGATCCTGCAAACTTACATCGATCTCATCCAGGGTCCCATCCAGGTACCTCCGCACTTGGGAGTTGATCTCAGCAATCTGAATTTCATCCATGGGGTCGTAGGTCACCAGGGTGCGGTTGGCCTTAAAAAAAGAAGTGATAAGTAACCAGAAACTTGAGCCTGAGGGAGAGCCAAAAAGGGGCCCCTTTGGCACCGGCACTGGCTGCTTAGGCTGGCTCTTGTTTGTCTAGCTGTCTGCCCTTGGCCCTACGCCCTCCAGCATGGGTCCTTCCCCTGCCCCAGCCCCTTACCAGGCTGTCATGGATGGCAAGTTCCTGCTTGAGCAACACCAGCTCCTTCTCCAGATTCTTGACCATTCTCTGCCAGGGAAGAGGGGAGGGGGTCATCAGAGAAGCCACCAGGTGAGGTAATTCAATTCTATGCCCAGATGTTCCTGCCAGCCAGTCTTGGTAACCTATAAGGTATATTCTAGGCTTCCTGGCTATTCTCTCCCTGCTAGGGAGATGGCTTCAACAGCCTCTGGGCCTTTACCTCTTCTCAGCAGAAGAGATGGAGGACAGAGAGAACACAGGACACCGAACCTATTTCAAATTCAAGTCCTAGGTGGTTTTATTTTTTTTTTTCCCAGTCCTGCGGCTGGAACTCAGGACCTGGGCACTGTCCCTGAACCTCTCTTGCTCAGTAGTGCTCTACTGCTTGAGTCACAGCACCACTTCCAGTTTTATAGTGGTTTATTGGAGATAAGAGTCTCACAGACTTTCCTGCCCAGACTGGCTTTGAACCGTGATCCTCAGATCTCAGCCTCCTGAGTAGCTAGGATGACAGGCGTGAGCCAAGGACATGTGTTGAGAAAATGGAATGTTAAGTCATTTATAATCTGGTGGCTATTATCAGCTTGTCTTCCATAAAAGAGGCACAAAGGACTTCACGTGAGCAACAGGGTTATTGGGGGGGGGAAGGACTATCTGTTCCAATTCAGCTTCCAATTTCCCACCCTGGGACCGAGGGAGCTGGTTCTCCTCATGACTATGCCGGTGTTTGTCTGTTTTTGTGTTTGTGTTGGTACTGGGGGAAGGGGGAGGTGAACTCAGAACCTCATGTTCTTTCTTGGCTTTTTCACTCAGGGCTGGCGATCTACCACTTAAGCCACAACTCCACTTCTGGCTTCTTGGTGGTTATTTGGAGAGAAGAATCTCAAGGGCTTCCCCTTGCCCAGGCTGGCTTTGAACCCAAGATCCTCAGATCTCAGCCACCTGAGTAGCTAGGATGACAGGTATGTAACAATGACCCAGGATGGCCCCAAACTCAGAGACCCTCCAGATTCCCAAGTAGTAAGGATTACAGGCATGTGTCACCATGCCCAGTGACCTGGGCTCTTATTAGAAATATAAATCTTTTCAGGTACAGTACTACACATCTGTAATCCCGGCACTCCAGGGGCTGAGGAGCGTGTTCCAGGCCAGCTTAGGATACCTAGCGAAAACTTGTTTCAAAAAAACAAAAACATGGACTGGGAAGGTGGCTCAGTGGTAGAGCGCTTACCTTGCCTGCATGAGGCCCTGGGTTCGATTCCTCAGCACCACATAAGAAAAAAGCCAGAAGTGGCGCTGTGGCTCAAGTGGTAGAGCACTAGCCTTGAGCTGAAGAGCTGAGGGACAGCGCCCAGGCCCAGAGTTCAAGCCCCACTACCGGACCCCAAAAAAAAAAAAAAAAAAAACATGGCCAGGCACTGATGGCTCACACCTGTCAACCTAGCTACTTAGGAGGCTGAGATCTGAGGATTGTGGTTCAAAGCCAGCCCGGGCAGGAAAAGTCTGTGAGACTCTTATCTCCAATGAACCACTAGAAAACCGGAAGTGGTGCTGTGGCTCAAGTGGTAGAGCACCAGCCTGAGCTGAAGAACTGAACTGAGGGACAGCGCCGAGGCCCAGAGTTCAAGCCCGACAAAAACAAAAAAACGGGCTGGTAATGTGGCTTAGCTGTAGAGTGCTTGCCTAGCATGCATGAGGCCCTGGGTTCAATTTCTCAGTACCACATACATAGGTAAAGCTGGAAGTGCCACTGTGGCTCAAGTTGTAGAGTGCTAACCTTGGGCAAAAGCAGCTCAGGGACAGTGCCCAGGCCCTGAGTTCGAGCCCCAGGACTAGCAAAATAAATAATCAAGAAATGCAAATCCTCAGGCTCCGCCCCAATAATGGCCAGAATCAGGATCTGAAGCTCAGCCTGCTTGTGTATGAGACCCATGGATGGGTCCACAGAGCAATAGGGACTGTTAATTTCCTTCAGGATTTAGAGATCTGAAAAGTTTAATTGCTTCTGCATGAGCACGAGGGATGTACAATCTCTTTCTGCAGTGACCTTGACACCATAAGCATCTTAAAGGAAAACCAAGCTGGGCACTGGTGGCTCATGCCTGTAATGCTTAAACTCAGGAGACTGAGATCTGAGGATTGGGGTTTGAAGCCAGCCAGGGCAGGAAAGTCTGTGAGACTCTGATCTCCAATTAACTACCAAAAAAGCTGGAAATGGTGCTGTGGCTCAAAGTAGTAGAGTGCTAGCTACCTCCTAAAAGCCCCAAGTGATCAGCAAATGTGCTTTTACTTTATTAGTTGTTACCAAAATTCTTCCCCAAATGCTTGTGTTAATTATACTCTGGCCAGAAAATAACTTGAGTTCTGTTTCTCCACCTTCTCCCTCATCATCATTTCTTACATTTGCCAGAGACCAAAGTCCAATTTTTGCTGGTCTGAGGGTGTGACGTTTGAATTCCCTTTTGCCCTGGTTAATGCCTCTTGATTTCTCAGCTCTGTTTATGGGGCTGGATCACTTAGGCCAGTGAGCTAGTCTAGTCTATTCTGAACTGACAGCCAGGCAACTTCTGTGAGGTAATCCACACTCCCTAAACTGTTAAGGAGATCTCATGGAGAAGCCCAAGGAACCCAGGATTTCTGGAGCCACACACCTGTGAACTGGGTGGTTGCCCCCTGGTTACCTCTGTGGCAGCCTTGGAAGAGTCTCCAGGGATGCTAAAGCCCTGGTCTGTGCCAAGGTAGAATGAGACTGACCCAGGGCCAAGTGAGGATCTTTGGCAGAGGCAGGAAGGAAGTCACTGCTATCTCTTCCCACATGGCATCAAATCCATACACTTTCCTCGCCCCCCCCCCCCCCCCCGTAGAGGAGGCCTCTCAGCACCTCAGCATCATATTTTTCATTGATGGAAGGCTCGGTTGTCACCAGCTTCATCCTGTTGGCAAACCGCAGCGAAGAAAGCTGGAAAACAGATCAAGCAGATGTCAGATGACTTCCAAACCAAGGGAGACTCGTTCCGCACGCCCCCCCCCCCCTCCGCCAGGCCTACGGGTTCATGCCTGTAATCCTTAGCTGCTCAGGAGGCAGAGATTGGGAGGATTGTGGTCCTAGCTCTGGCAAAATATTCCCTTTGAGCCAGGCGCTGGTGGCTCATGGCTGGAATCCTAGCTGCTCAGGAGGCTGAGATCTGAGGATGGCGGCTCAAAGCCAGCCTGGGCAGGAAAGTCCATGTGACTCTTATCTCCAATGAACCACCAGAAAACTGAAGTGGCGCTGTGGCTCAAGTGGTACAGTGCTTGCCTTGAGCTGAAGAGCTCAGGGACAGCTCCCAGGACCAGAGTTCAAGCCCCACAACTGACAAAAAAAAAAAATTTTTTTAATAATAAAAGGCAGGTGTAGCTGAGTCCTGGTGGTTCACGCCTATAAGCCTAGTTACTCAGGAGACTGAGATCTGAGGATCAGGATTTGAAGCCAGCCCAGGCAGGAAAGTCTGTGAGACTTACCTCCAATTAACTACGAGAAAACCTGAAGTGAGGCTGCGGCTCACTAGAGCACTAGCCTTGAGCAAAAAAAAGAGCTTAAGGATAGTTCCCAGGCCCTGAGTTCAAGTCCTGTGACCCAAAAATAACTGTCTTTTTTTCAGTATCCCCACCAAAACAAATTAACCTAACAGATCCATAATATTATGATTCCAAGATGTAATTAATGTTTAAAAAAACTGTTGCTAGGCAACAATGGGGTCATGCACGTAATTGGAGCTATTCAAGAGGCTGAGAGCTGAGAATCAGCTGTTTGAAGCTGGCCCAGGCAGGCAAACTGAAGACGCTATCTCCAGCTAACAAGCAAGAAGCTGGAAGTAGAGGTGAGTCTCAAGTGATTGCTCTTGGGGTACAACTGTGCTTGGCTAGGAACCAGAGAGATGTGAAAGCTTTCCCCTGGAGAGGCTGCCCCACGTCAGCAGGGGTTGCTTGTTCCAGGCACCAAACCCCAGAGCATTGAATGTATGGCAGAAACACACGCTCTAGAAGCTGGGATTGTCCCTAATGCCCATGGCCGGGAGGCCCTGCAGATCTGTCTTGCCCCACAGTATCCTTGGTATTGAAGGGCTTCATCTGCCTAAGTATATTCTGGAGATTGCCTTAACATCCACACTTGAAAAGTGAAATGGCTGGGGACATAGCTCATGTGGTATAGCGCTTGGCCTAGTGTGTACCTAATAACAGGTACACATACACAGCTCCGCTTCAGCTTTTTGTGGATAATTGGACATGAGAGTCTCACAGACTTTCCTGCCAGTCTGGCTTGGAACCGAGATCCTCAGATCTCAGACTCCCCAGTAGCTGGGATTACAGGCGTGAGTCACCAGTGTCTGTCTCCAATTACTAACCTACTACTGCCAACCAGCTCAGTGCCCACTTCTCCTCACTCCAGCTCCAGGGAAAAAATTAAAAAACAAGAAACCTCCTTCTTCCTCTCTCTCTGGCCTCCTCTGAAGGTCTCCTCTCTTCCTCTCACATTACTTAGGGCTGGGAACTCTTGACTTTCATCCACAGACCTCCATGGGTTGGTGCTTAACACCTATGTGGTTCATGTTGGCCTTAGATCCAACCACAGCCTAGAATACTGTAGTGTTCATTGTGTGTGTGTGTGACTCGTGGGGCTTGAACACAGAGTCTAGGTGCTGTCCCTGAGCTTTTTTTGCTCAAGACTAGCCCTCTACCACTTGGGCCACAAGGCCACTTCTAGCTTTTTTTGGTGATTAATTGGAGAGAAGAGTTCATGGGGCTTTCCTGCCCAAGCTGGCTTCAAATCTTGATTCTCAGAGATTTATCAGCCTCCTGAGTAGCAGGAGCTACAGGCATGAGCCACCAGCACCCAGCTTGTGTTTGTAAGATGTTCAAACATATGAATCTTTTTTTTTTTTTTTGCTTTTTGGGGAGTCTGTCCTGGAGATCAAATCCAGAGTCTTGTACATGCTAGGCAAGTGTTCTTATCGAGCTATGACCCCAGCCCAAACACGTCATTGCAAAGAGGAGGTAAGTAATTGGGTTTGGAGTAGTAACTTAGTAGTAGTTTATCTATAGACTAGGCAGGAGGCCCTAGGTTTGCTGAATACTTCCCCCACCCTCCCGCCCCAGTCCCTGATTGTCCACATGGGTGTTGTACCAGCTGAACCAGTCTGGGGTCAGCTCTACCCAGCCCTGGGTAACCCATGAAGGAGGGATGCCAACTTGTCTGTACTGACCGTTTCTTCTAACTGGGCAGCTTCTCCATAGATGTTTGTCACCAGAACCAAATTGCAGTTTCCCCCTGTGAGAAAGCGAAGACACAAAAGGCTTGTGACTCGTGGTGGGTTTTTTGGTCAAACTCCCTTGGGGCTGGTGGGGCTCTGTTACGGACAAAACATCCATAATCCCACAGCATTCAAATGTTGAAGCCTTCACCCCCAAAGTCCCACCTTCAAATACCCAATGGGATGGTATTTAGTGGTAGGGCTTTGGGGAGAAAATTAAGTTTAGGTGAGCCTGGGAGTGGAGTTCTTCTGATGGAATTACTGTCCTTATAAAAGAGAAAAAAGAGAGAGAGACCCAAGCATTGATGGCTCCTGCCTGTAATCATAGCTACTCAGGAGGCTGAGATCTGAGTATTGCAGTTCAAAGCCAGCCTAGGCAGGAAAGTCCGTGAGACTCTTATCGCCAATTAATCACAGAAAAAGTCAACAGTGGTGCTGTGGCTCAAGTGGTAGAACGCTAGCCTTGAGCAAAAGGAGCTCAGGGACATCGCCGAGACCCAGAATTCAAGCTCCATGACTGACAAAAAAAAAAAAAATAGGCTAAGGGACCAGTGCCTAGGCCCTGAGTTCAAGACCAGGACCAGCACATGTGCGCACACGCACATGCATGCGCACATACACACACATCAGAGACCAGAGCCTTGTCTCTTTCCATGTGTGGATACAGACAGATGGTAGCCATCTGCAAGCCAGGAAAAAGGCCCTCACCAAGAACCACGTATCAGCTGGCACCTTGATCTTGGACTTCCCAGCTCCAAACTGTGAGAAATAAATGTTGGTCTGTTGTTGAAAGCCACCAGTGTATGGTGTTTTGTCTTAGAAGCTCAAGCTGAGTCAGAGAGAGCCTGTATGGAACTGAGACATGGGAGAGGGGAAGGGAAGGGGGAGGGAAGAAAAGAGGGAGGGAGAGAAAGAAGCTAGCAAATGTACCTAAGAAGGAACAGAAGAGGACAGTGGTGAAAAGACAGTATGGGAGAAAGAGTGTAAGGCTGGGAGAAAGGGTGGGAGCCAGGACCTAGCTCATGATAGTCATATAGCTAACAATCGGAGACCAGTGGAGGTGGGCACTGGTGGCTCACGCCTGTCATTCTAGCTACTCAGGAGGCTGAGATCTGAGGATCGCAGTTCAAAGCCAGCCCAGGTAGAAAAATCAGTGAGGCTCTGATCTCCAGTGAACCACTAGAAAACCAAAAGTGGCACTGTGGCTCAAGAGGTAGAGCGCTGGCCTTGAGCATAGGGACAGCACCCAGGCCCAGAGTTCAAGCCCCATGACTGACAAAAAATCCAGTGGGCAGGAGGGCATGGTTCAACTGTAGAGCACCTAGCAAGAGGGAAGCCCTGGATTCAAACTCTAGTCTTTTAAAAAAGAAAAAGGAGGCTGGTGCTGGTGGCTCATGCCTGTCACCCTAACTACTCAGGAGGCTGAGATCTGAGGATTGTGGTTCAGAGCCAGCCTGGGCAGAAAAGTCTGTGAGACTCTTATCTCCAATGAACCACCAGAAAACCAAAAGTGGTTCTGTGGCTCAAGTAGTAGAGTGCTCGCCTTGAGCTGAAGAGCTCAGGGACAGTGCCCAGGCCCAGATTTCAAGCCTCATGACTAACAGGAAAAAAAAACAAACAAACAACAGTGATTGTCATTAAACCTAACACAAACACCTGAGCACCTGGACATGACCAGACAACCTGCATTTTTGTGTGTGTGTGTGTGTGTGTGTGTGTGTGTGTGTGTGTGCGCGCGCACGCGCGCCAGCCCTGGGTCTTGCATTTGTGTGTGTGTGTGTGTGTGTGTGTGTGCCAGCCCTGGGTCTTGAACTCAGGGCCTGGGTGCTGTCTCTCAGCTTTTGTGCTTGAGCCATATGTTCACTTCTGGCTTTTTGGTGATTAACTGGAGGTAAGAGTTTCATGGGGCTGGGATGTAGCTTAGTGTCAAAGTGCTTATCTAATAAGTACAACATCTTCCTCAGCACTGGGGAAAAAAAAAAAAAAGAGGAAGAAGAAAAGAGTCTCATGGGCTTTCCTTCCCAGGCTGGCTTTGAACCTCTTGAGTAGCTAAGATTACAGGCATGAGCCATCAGCACCTGGCCTCAGCCTGTACTTTGTTGCCCTGGAAACTGCCAGAGGAAGGAGGGAAGGTCTGATGGGAGAGGCCCTCCCTCTGAATCTTCAAGGCCTGGAACTTCAATGTCTGTCAGACATTTAGAGACAAGGGGACACATGAGAAGATATCTGTAGCAGAGACCAGAGCGTAAGTAGAGTTTCTGGTGTGGCCTAGGCACAAGAAGAGGACCTGGATGCTGCTTTTCTGGATATGTCTGACACTACTATCAAAGAACTATAGGTAATTTGAGCCCCTCCCCCACCAAGAGGAAGAAATCTCTCTCTCTCCCTCTCTCTCTCTCACACACACACACACACACACACACACACACACACTGTGGCAGGGGTGGGGGGTGGAGGGGTGTTAGTGGTACCAGGCCCTCCTACTTGGCCACCAGCCACACCCTTACCTAATGAGTCCTTGAGGGCATGGGTGAGCTTGCACTGGCGGAAAGGGATGTGATCTCGCTTCTGGTCCCCAAGGGCAATGATGGCCTGCTCCAGGAATGACAGCGACTTGTTGATGTAGGTGGCTTCCTTCTGGACTCGTCCATCAGACTGCAAACCAAACATCAATTCCACTTTTTTTTTTTGCATGTCCTAGGACTTGAACTCAGGGCCTGGACACTGTCCCTGAGCTTCTTTTTGTTCAAGGCTTGTGCTCTACCACTTGAGCCACAGCACCACTTCTGGCTTTTTCTGTGTATGTGGTACTGAGGAATTGAACCCAGGGCTTCATGCATGCAAAGCAAGCACTCTACCGCTAGGCCGCATTCCCAGTCCTCAATTGCACTTTTGGATGCACTGGTTTGGGGTGATGCTACAAAGCTGCAGGAACCTTCCCCTGTACCCCCAATATTGCGATTGAATTCCATTTGGGGCTGAACATGAGAAAACTAAAATTCATGGACACGCTCATTTCTGTGAGTACTCCTGTGAATATGAACTTATATGAATATTCATAGAGGAATACTCAAAAGATGCAGTCTAGCAGGTGCCAGGGGCTCACACCTGAAATCTTAGCTACTCAGGAGGCTGAGATGTGAGGACTGTGGTTCAAAACCAGCCTGGGCAGGAGTCTTTGAGATCCTTGGCTTCACTTCTGCTAATTTTTTTTTTTTTTTCCTCAGTTGTGGAGCTTGAACTCTGGGCCTGGGCACTGTCCCTCAGCTCTTCAGCTCAAGGTAAGCATTCTATCACTTGAGCCACAGCGCCACTTCCAGTTTTGGGGTGGTTTATTGGAGACAAGAGTCTCACAGCCTTTCCTGCTTGGGCTGGCTTTGAACGGCGATCCTTGGATCTCAGCCTCCTGAGTAGCTAGGGTAACAGGCGTGAGCCGCCATGCCCGGCTAACTTCTGCTAACTGTTATTTCTCCTGCTGTGCTTTACCTGGCTCAGACCTGTGCCCTCAAAAATGGAGTGGGCATGCACAGACACACGCCTGCCAGAAACAGCATCCCTGCCTCTCTCACTTACCCCAGTTTTCCCCAGCCTCTCTGAGCCGGCCAGATCCACCAGGTTAATTTTGGAAGTGATAAACTTTTCATCTGATAAGGTCCGGGAATGGGCCTACAAAACATCCACTTAAGAGTTAGTCTGTAACAGGAGGGGCCTCTGATTGGGCAGTGCCCATTGGCAGTCACCCCTCCCTGGGCCAATCAAGGAGCTTGGCACTTACCTCCATGTAGATGGTGAAAATACTGTGTGACCTGGATGAGTTTTTGTTCATTGTGTGGGAGGCTAAAATCCTGTTGGTCTCTCCCTGAATGGGAAGGGAAATGAATGTACTATTTTTTGCAGAAAAAAAAAATGAAAACACCAATAACCACACAGGTAATCTCAGAACAGTGCAATTACATGGGCCTACTGGGCAAACTTGTGTTTTTGTTTTTTGTGGGTCATAGGGCTTGAACTCTGGGCCTGAGTGCTACCCCTCAGCTCTTTAGTTCAAGTTGAGTGCTCTACCACTTGAGCCACAGCGCCACTTCCGGTTTTCTGGTGGTTTATTGGAGATCAGAGTCTCACTGACTTTCCTGCCTGGGCTGGCTTTGAACCTCAATCCTCAGATCTCAGCCTCCTGAGTAGCTACGATTACAAGCATGAGCCACTGATGCCCAGATGGCAAACCTCTTTTGTAAATTAGTACAGAAGAAGATAGATTGGATTCTAGAACTATATGTTCACCTACTGCTGGGGGTGTGCAGATTGGTATAGCTTTCCAATAAGCAAGATGACAATTAGAGTGCTCTATATATATATATAT